TACTGATGTAAGTCGTTCTGGATAAGAACATCTGCTAAATGCCAATAATGTAATGTAATAATTACCATACTGTGATCAGTATGCATGTATCTAATTAGTGTGTAATTGTGAGCTCCCTGTTGAAAAGCAGTAAATTAAACTTGGAGAAAATGTTGTGTTGGGCTTGCTGAGCATGTGTCATGGCTGTCACCAGAGTGTTTAATCCTTGGTATCTGGCCAGAACAGTTTTCGGGGAGTCAGGGGAGTTTTCGGGGAGTCAGGGGAGAGGAACAGGCCAACGCAGTCCCGTGTGTCCATCCAGTAGAAGGAGCACGCTGGTTCCCTCGGTCTGGACAACGCTCTGGGATCCGCCGCGCTTGCTTCCCGGACGGAGCTGTTTTCGATTACAGCCGCGCCGATAAGGCCAGCCGCTTTTACTGGCTTGGCTCGGAGGCGCGGCGTTGCAGCAGTCCCGTTCCTCGCTTCTTTGCTTTGGAATGGCGCGCGCTCGGAGGGCGTGACCCGCGCTAAAACGCACTGGCTCCCGTCCTGCCCTTTTACAACAGTGGGCTATTGTGTGCGAGAACCTCCTCACGAGCGCCGAGAGTAAGCTCGTAATATTTTAGAGGGCAGTCAAACTTAGTCTTAAACCATTTCGAAACTCTGAAATACATTTACAGGTTGTCTTTTGTCAATTTCATTGTGCCTTATAAGTAGTCGGGCGAGCTCAGGAAGAGGCAATATGGCGCTACAGTTTAACATTATCTATACAGTCTGTGTCTTTCGCTGAGATTCAGTGGGAAGAAACCTGGTTAAAAGTGTTGGTGTCTTCATGAAACAACTCCGGGGGCCCTTTAAATGGCGTTTTTGTGGAATGGGGCATTGAGAAGACAGGGCGTGGCTTGGCAGGGGTTACCAGCCCCGCCCCTCTGTGTGGGTACAGTAATGCCGGACGCTGTCCTTGGGCGGGGTGGAGGCTGGAAAGCTGCAGCTTCCTTCCCCGTCCTGAAGCGTCCCTCTTCCTCTCTCCGCAGGGGGCAGTGAGGGTCAAGGCCGGATTCTCCAGCGCTTCCCTGAGAAAGACTGGGAGGACAACCCCTTTCCCCAGGGGATCGAGCTGGTGAGTACCCCCAAACACACACACACACACACACACACACACACACACACACACACACACACACACACACACACACACGTACACAGACACACCTTGACCCGGCTCCCAGAGTTCCCCTCACAGAAGTATATACACACAAACTTACACGTGCCCACTGAAAGTCTCCTCACTCCTCAGCATAACACCGACAGTCATGTTGACTGTATTGTTGTGTTGCCAAAGGGTTACCTTCTATCAGAATACATCTTATTGTTTTCAGTAAGATTCCAAACCTGGTTTGACGGCACAACAAGAATGCATTGAAGGGCAAACTCTAAATTTAAGATCTTTCCAATCACCAGAGCCTTGCACTCTGAAGAGCTGTACTAGATTATTGCGTCGTTATATAACAGTGCTGGAACTTAGAGTGCCAGTCCATATTGCAGCTCCTTTTGACTGCCCCGGTCAAGTTCAAGTGTTCTAAGGGTAAATATTTAAAGTTTCAAAGCCTGCAGTGATATATATATATATATATATATGGGACATAGCTTGCAGTCGACTTCAAAATATAAGGAGTGCGGTTTGGTACAATACATTCCAGTGTTTTTCCCCACTCACATTACCTAGATCGATGAAACAGTATTGTGTCATGCTATAGGTACATGGAACATGCTATTAAAAAGTGCACCTCAGGCAGACAAAAGCAAGAGAGAAGTCAAAACCCCATTGGCCACACATTAGTCACAAGTGACACAACAGCATGGCATGGTGGTGCCAGTTCCTTATGTACACAGCTGACAGATAGTGCGTCTTGCAAAATCGCGATATGGAGTCATTGCTTAGTCATCAGTTGCCACATGTGGCAGTGCCAGCCGTAATGTTGCATCACTGAAGAAATGAGGAGGTGCGCACTGATGTCTTAGAAGAAACCAGGTTCTACAAGCCTAATTGAGGGAAGTCCTTGTGAAGGAAGTCTTTGGGGAAAAACCCATGCAAGGTGGATTTTGAGTATTTGTGTTTGTTTCTGTTTTGTGAAAGGCGGACTGAATCCAGTGAAGGGCGTGGGTTGTTGTGTTTTTAGCGCTGTCCTGTACTGGTCAGAAGTGGAATGAAAGCCCTGTCCTGTGCTTTCCAAATATAATTCGCTAAAAATAAAGGGGGAAGTAGGTTATCATGTTGTCCGGGGAGCACTGTCAATGTCTTGGCTGGGATTGTATGTCAGTTGAAGGCCTGCAGCGAGATGAGCGTGTGACCCAGAGCTCCACAGGCTCAACTAAGCATATTTTTTACAGTGCCGTTCAGCATGGGACTATCTTCTAAGCAAAACCCAGAGATACGATCCCAAGAAAATGAATACATCGGTAATTACAGTGGTGAAGGATTACCGCAGTGTCACACAATAGCACAAAAGCATCCGATCACAATGAGGGCGACAGAGACGAGAGTAGCTAGCTTGAGGCAGTAAGGGATTGAAACAGAGTAAACAGTCTACAGCTACAGCGCAGGGCATAAATAAATCATGCGGTGATAGAGGACAGATGGAGTGATCAGACAGAGTGGTGGATAGATAAGAGTCATCCAGAAAGGAGGAGTGCAGCCCTGAATTAAGATAAGATGAGCAGAAAAGGGCTGAGCAGGGTAAAGGTGACAGGGTGGTGAAAATAATAGATCGTACACTGATGACAGGGACACCCGTAATGTGACAGTATGGCAGGGAGGGGGGGTCGTTAGCAGATCGCAGGCGGAGAGTGAAAGTGACGTCGCTGGGCCTGACTGCAAGCGTCCCGGCCAGCGTGCAGCTGTCAGGGGCCCTCCGGACTTCGTCACCGCCTCGGTCGCGGTGCACGCCTTCGGCAAACGGGCACGCCTCTGATTTTACAGTTGCCTCGCGTGGCGGGAACGGGCTTAGGGCCCAAACGGTGCGCCGCAAGGCTCCAGTCAGATAAGGTCATGTTTGCGTTTCAGAGCGTTTGTTCAGCGCGATGAGGTGGCTTGGCTCATTTCGAGGAGTTCCGGTAAATTCCGCGACAACCTGACTTGTCCTCGGAAAGGGCCACACCCTCGCGCTAGCCTGGGTGTCTGCTCCAGCCTGGGCTGTGAACGCCCGCAGTGCAAGGGAACGGGTCTCTTCTCCACTCCATTTAGTTTACAGCTCTGGGCAGGAGACCTAAACCAAACATGGGAATGGCTGTTAAATCCTCTAGCGTTCCTCTGCGGGAAATAAAACCAAGGAGAGTACTGTTACATCAGTCCTTCGAAAGGCCGCTGTTCGGGTGCGTGCTTCATGCATCCAAGAACGTGCTTTTTAAGGGGGGTTCAGTGCTTCATTAGTTTGAATTGAATATCAGCCTGGAATGGAAAATGTTTTTGATGATTATTGTAAGGTAAGCAGCTGAACCTCAGAAAGAGCCACAGACACCCATTAAGGTGTGACAGGAGCAGAGGGAGGTCTGCTGTAATGCTCTGGCACAGTGTGTGTTGCAATGCCTCAAGGTAAAGGTCGATGGGCATACCCTGGAATTGATGGGTAAACAGAAATGAAAACAGACTTGTTACAGATATTATACAAATTATATTACATTACATTACATTCCAGCACAAAGGAACAGAATTGTACCACTCGAGTTGAATGAGCAACAGTGTCAGACCAGGCTAACGGCACTCCCAGAGTGTGAGCATAACACTATTCAAGCCCTACCCTTGTGCAACCTGACTAGGCAAGGGAAGCCAAGGGTACAGCCGTACATCAGTCACTAGATCACAGAACCCAAAACACATTGCGATACTACACGTAAAATACAAGTAATACAAGATGCAAGTAATACAAGTAGCAAATCCGTAAGTCACCTTACAAATCACTATGGTGTTGTGAATATCACTCTGTTGTCCAGCAAGTTCTTAGAGTAAATGCAACACTTGTGTATGTGAATGTCAGGAGCTCCTGCTTGGTGAGAAGCAGACTGAATGCCTCTTTGCAGAAGCCCTCCGTGACACTTCCTCTCTCCTCTTCCACAGTTCTGTCAGCCCAGCGGGTGGCAGCTCGTCCCCGAGAGACTGCCGCCGACCTTCTTCGTAGTAGTTCTGACTGACATCAGCTCCGAGCGCCATTACTGTGCCTGCTTCACCTTCTGGGAGGAGGTGGATAACGCCCAGGTACGTGAGGGAGTCAGCTGTGAAATAAAAATTGTAGTGGTAACACCCAGGTTCGTAAGGGAGTGTGTGTGTGTGGGTGTGTCTTCAGAAAAAGAAGAGACGTATAGATAAGCCAAAAATATCATGTTATATTAACAGATGTGTCATATCACTACTATAGATTTGTATAGATAAGTATTAAATTTGCATTCACATAGTAGAAGTTGGGTACTCTGTGTGTAAAGGGAGGAATTGTAGGGTTCATTTATGAGGTACACCTGTAGACACTCCCTTATTCATAACAAAAAAGAATTATAAATAACTAATACATCAGTAAATAAATTCATAATAATGTATTTATAATAATATCCATGAATAAGTTATAGATGTGAACAGATGGGAGGTATAGATGTGCAAATTATTGTTTGCCATGTAGGTAAAGTGAGTCATAGATTAGATATTGAAGTAAGTTATAGCTCAGTATAGGTAAGAGGGGATTGATGAGTGTACACTGTTACAGCCCCAGAAGAGCCTGTCCAGTGAAGCCTATGAGGATGATGAGCCCGGGATCATCCAGCCCGCCCAGCTCTTCGCCCCCAAGAGCCTGGTGCTGGTGTCCCGGCTGGACCACGCCGAGGTCTTCAGGGTGAGGAGTTCAGCTCTCGTGTCACCCGATCCCAGTTTCACCTGCCCTGTCCCGCCCTTTGTGTCCTCCCCCTGTCCCGCTGTCCAATCTCCTGCTGAACAGCGTTCTGTGTTCTCAGCATTTGACCTCTGACCCTTGTGTGGAAGCCGTGTGGCGTAGTGGTAGTGAGTAGGGCTTGTAACCAAAAGGTTGCTGGTTCGATTCCCCGCTGGGGCGCTCCTGTTTTACCCTTGGGCAAGGTACCTAACCTAAAAAACATTGCCTCAGTAATATTAAGCTGTATAAATGGATAATATGTAAAAAAATTGTAACCTATGTAAGTCGCTCTGGGTAGGAGCATCTGCTAAATGACAGTAATGTCATGTAATGCCATGTAATGTGTCCCTACCCGCAGAACTGTCTGGGCTTGATCTACTCCTCACACATCGACGGCGGGAGCGTTCCCATGGAGACCCTGATCGGAAACCTCCTGACCTGCATCATTCCCATCGCGGGAGGGTCCCAGGTGAGAGAGCGGGTACCACGTTTCGCAGGCACGAGGCGGGAAGGCCTTCGTTTTCAGCCAGCCGGGGACTGTGGGAAAGGCATTGTTGCTGTTTTTTGCTCCCTCCCGCCTCCCTCCCCAGCGTTTCGGTCTGCAGTCAGTGTGTGGTGTTGTTTTGGCTGCAGGGCGAACACACTGCACGCCGCTTCCCATGGGATCCGAGCCAGGCCGGTGTCAAAATGTTAAACACGCACTCCAAAACCAGACGAACTCAAACAGCCCGGACAGCTTTTACTCATATTCTTCCTTATTCATCCTCTTTATTCACCTTATAGTATATTTAGGATGTTATAATCTCAGATTCAATACCATTTTGTACATAGATATATGTATGGCGTAAGCAGGTAGCACCTGTTACACAGCAGGTGCTGTCTGTTAACCTGCAATATCCCCTCCCACAGTCACACCAGAGCAATCATAGATCATCCTCTTCCAGCACTGTAGGTTCAGAGCTCTGGACTCTGGAAAGGGCTGGAAAGCACTTGGTTTACGTGCCTCCGGGTATTTGGTCCTGTGTGTTGCAGATTGAAGACTCCCCTATGTGTAGTTTTAACGCGGTTCCTCAGAATCTTGCCTGTGACGGGGTTCTGGGCTGCCTCCAGGTAACAACCTCTCCCAGCGGCTTGCCCCAATCACAACTTTGATTTGCCCGATTTTTTTTTTTTTTTAATAAATCATGGTGATTCACAGAGCTCAATCAACCGTCTGCACTTTGTTCAATCTTCCAGCTCTCGCTCAGCTGCGGTAATTCCATAAATCATTTCCCACGCTGTTGAAATCAAGGAATTCTCCTCTACTTTATGTGCATCTTGTTCTCGTTTGTCATGTGTGCTGCTCTGCGGACAGCCTGATTCATTTTGATGCGGGACATTTCTGACCTCATAAATCAATGCAGGAAGCGCTCCCACAGTAGGATTTACTAACCCCCCACCCCGTCCCCCGTCCCAGGATGCAGACGGATCAGAGAGACCGCCCAGCCTGGTATTCTCAGCTGGAGGGGGTGCTCTGCGGGCGGCAACCAGGGGACTCATGGCCTTTTTTGGGGGGAGGGATGGGGGTGTCAGCCCTTCCACAGGACGGTTACAGCACTTCTGACTTCACATTTCAGATTTTTCACTAGAGGAGCAGGGAGAGCCTGCAGACAGGCCTATATGTTCTCTGCGGTGGGGTTAATCTGTGTACATGTATCGGCATGCGGCTCTGTCACAGTGCAGCCGTGATGAGAGCTTTACTGTGGGCTCACGGAGGTGTCATAAACCTGAAACCTCAGGCCCCGCCGTCTGCGCTCCTCGCGATTCTGATACCGTGTCCCTCACGCTCAGAACGCGCTCGCTTCTCCAGATGCGTAGGCTGCTGCCACACATCTCGCGTGTTGCGGAAGAGGCACTTTAATGTTGTAGCTCGGGACTAGAATGTCAGACATGTGCTCCAGGCACTTTGTCCCTGGGTGCCAATCTTTAAGTGAGATCTTGGAACTTGGAGCATGAGAGGCATAACAGTTCGGCCACACCTGCCCGTGTGTGTGTGTGTGTGTGTGTGTGTGTGTGTGTGTGTGTGTGTGTGTGTGTGTGTGTGTGTGTGTATGTATGTATGTGTGGCCCACTGCCCCCAGAGCCACCAGCAGAAAATGTCCCTTCAGATCAAGACACCTTCCTGCTACCCCTACCTGATAGTGTGACAGAGTAACCCACATTGTGTACAATACAGACCACAAGCCACGGGCCTAAGGAAAGTGTTGCAGAACAAAAGGTTGTGTTATCTTTCATCTAATGCTAAACTCTGCATGTTATATGTAAACCTGGTAAATGAGTGTTTAAACAGTGATTGCCAGTTACAGTGGAAGTGTACCTCCTCTCTATATATTAAAAGGTTTTATAGAGAAGGAACATGCTCACTGAGGAATGTGGAGCAGCCTGTTGAGTCTCCCATGTGAGGAACCTCAGTTTTATACCTCTGGTGTCTTTATCAGTGGCTCCCTCTGATTCAGGCACCTGATTTTTAAAGGACCAGTCTGCCAGTTTACCTACCTCACTCTTAAAGGGCCAGTCTGCCAGTTTACCTGCCTCACTCTTAAAGGGCCAGTCTGCCAGTTTACCTACCTCACTCTTAAATGGCTTCACTATTATTATTATTACTCACTTAGCAGAGACCCTTATGTGGGGCATTTGGCATAACAGTTCAGGGTAAGTGTCTTCCTCAAGGACAGAACAGCTGTGTCCCGCCCAGGATTCCTAAACCCTGCAGCGGTCTGTGTATGGGCCCAGCTTCCTGTGCTGTTTCCTGATGAGACAGCTCCAGCCAAATGCGCCACGGCGCTGACCCCTGGAAGCGCCTGTCCACCCCCCAACCCCCCGGCTTTCGTCCCTCTGTGAAGATCAAATGTGTAGACCTTTTTTTTTTTTTTTTTTTGGCCTGGTCAGTGTTGTGAGTTCTGTTTCATGAGCCCCGCTGTTGTCTCTAACCCGTTTGCTCTCCTGTCACGTCTCTGTCTGTCGCTAACCCAGGTGGGCCCGGCGGAGCAGGAGGAACGCCTGGTACGCCCGCCTTTTGCTCTACAGTTGTTAGCTCTTAGCCTCTGGTTTTTTAGGAGCGGTGTCTGTGAGTCTCCTCACACCCTCCCTCCCGTTCCCGCCCCCGACCCCCACCCCCCTACCCCTTCCTCCCCTCCCCCAAGGGGTCTTATCTGTCCCAGTCTTGAGAAAACTCACACGCCGCGAGGGCATGATCACGCTAATCTGTGAACCAACCGCTAATTTCTGTTTTCTTTTCTTTTTCTTTTTTTTTTAAAATAATAACAACTCTATTCTTAGCAGAGTTGGGGTCAACTCCAGGTCCAGCTGTGTCAGGAACCGGAAGCGAAGATGATATCAGATGACTCACTTAATGAGTGGTTTTTAAAAAAGGAATTGACCCCCACTCTTGCGAGCGGCTTCTTCTTGGACTCGTTCCAATCACCTGCTGACAGTTCAGACACTGCTTTTATAATTGTCTTTTGTGTATGTGCGTTTGTGGTTGTCTGCTTGGTCACAGCAAGAGTTTAACCCAAGCAAGCTGTTTGGCGCTGCAGCTAAAATGTCCACCGAGCAATTTTTTAACAAAGTTTCTGTCAATATGCGCTTGTTCTTTCCTACTCCAGGTTGATGTCTTTTTATATGCATACTTTCTCTGTGTAACTTTGGCTGCATTTTTTGTGTATGTTTGTTTTCCCACACACTGTGCTAATGAGGGCTGAGCTCATATGATGTTGCACAGCTCCCTTCTGTCCTGTGTCTCTTTCCACAGCCAAAGTCTTCACTTGAACAAGGGCCCCTCCGGATGTTCCATTTGGTTACATCCTCAGTTCTGGCCCTTCTTCAACTGAGTGAAACTGTGACTCTGTTGCTCTGCCTGACACGCGCGCGTGAACGTGTTTGTGCTCTGTCAAAGCTTATCCCAGTACAGTTCGTATTGCTGGCTGCGGTTGAGCATGGCCCTTGCTTTTTTTTTGACATGGTGGCAAAGCGCTGTCTGCCTCATGCAAAAAATGGGCCACCGATTAAGGGCTGCGCTGTGGAATGGCTTTTCTGTGCGTCAGAGATTAAAAGCAATGTGTTTGTCAAGCTGTATGTGCACGATCTGACAGAATCACCCCACCATCCACCCCCCACCAACCCCTCCCAAAAAAACATGATTTTATGATGCAAAACATTGCCTCCTTTAAACCTCTATTACCTATGTAATGTATGAAATCAGTATGATGGAGTAATTAGATAAATTCACTTATTTGATTGCACCAGAATGTTTAACAGCCACTCGTGTGAACTCTTATGATGTCATCACTGGTGTCTTTCTTAGCGTGGCAGCCACTGGGAGTCTGATTATTTAAATTACCGAATAACCAACTAAACTTAAAAAATGGCTGGAATGTCAGTCAACAGCGCTGACCTTTGATTTCAAACCACAAGTGCAGCTCAAGAAGACAAGGACCCCAGTGCTGTCAGATTAAGGCTGGGCTCCGCATCGTCTTTGCTTGGTTTGGAATCAGGCAGCACTAGTCCATCCTTAATTTTAACAAGCGTTACCGTCGCTCCCTCCTCCAGAGGACCATCACGCTGGGAGCCGGCGACCGGCAGGTGATCCAGACTCCCATCAACGACTCACTCCCTGTCAGCGGCTGCAGCGTGGCTCAGCTCTTCAGGCAACTAGGTGTGTAACCCGGCAACACCAAGCATCACACTCGGGCGGGGGGGGAAGCAGTGATACTGTTTGGTTGGCCGCACCAAGCAGTCAGCAAGCGGCATAGAAAGGATTAGCTGAGTGGTGTGTGCCGTGCTTGGTGCATCCAACCAAATGTTTTCCCTGGGTTAAGTGTCAATTTGGTATTGACTTTTGCCAGAGTACGTACTTAATTGCAGATTCACATTGTTTGGATACATGTGATCATGGTATTGATATATATGCTTGTTTGTTTTTTGTGCGTGTGTGTGTGGGTGCATGCATGCATTTTTTAAGGTAATAAATTATGTGTTGACTAATGATATTAAAATAATACTTAGGTAAAGTATTAATGATTACAGTAGGAACAAGACCAGATACACTAAAATCCTGCCTAAAGGTAGTATTAATAAAACTATCATGCAGGAGGGTTACATAACAAGACAGCCAGGCCAGGAAGGAACACAGACAGCATGGTC